CTGAAAATGATGTCCCATAAAGGGTGAGCCACAGCCCAGTAGAGATATGCTAAACACAGTATGAGCAATAACTAAGACATTAGCAATTGATAAATGTTCAACTTTCATAAACCAATTCATAACCCATTTCCATTTCATGACATTTAAGTCCATGATTACATTCATTTCTCCTCATTTTTTTTCAACTTGAGTGTTGAAAAACAAGGCTCAAAACTTAGCCATAATAACTTGATGAGAATAAGACTCATCTTTAAAACACTTTCAAAATTCCTGAGGGATACACATTTTAATGCTGTATCAATAACACATAAACCATTCCCACACTTTGCGAAAGATACACATTTTGGTGCTGTATCAACATAACATAGAATCACTTCTATACTTTACAATTGATAACGATATACATTTTAGTGCTATATCAAATCAATCTAAACACTTCCATAATCAACACTTGATACACATTGTAGTACTGTATCAATGTCACACACAACCCGGCTTAGAGGTCCATCCCCTATCTTCCCCTAAACCGTGGAGTACATCCTCCATCTCCTCCCACACAACACATGTATATAAACATAGATCATATACAATCAATCAATACATAGAATTAATGTATCATTCCAATTGCTATATTCAATAGCATACTCAATCGATTAGTTTTAGTTTGCCTAATCTTCATGCAGTGTCTACAACAATCAAGACTATCCTCCACTGATAGCCCAAAGCAGTTATTTCTATACTGAAAATAAATGCACCAAATGAATATATAATCAACATTTCAACTAGGTGAGCGATGAACGAATCAAACTACACCCTTTAATTCCATACACATCCAATTCTAACATTCTCAATTTAATTCTTCTTTCCGTTAAATTAATTATACCAATTAATTTATCAATGTAATTAGAGCATTTCCCATAATTAACATCACAACCCTAAGGTTCCATTTTCACCAATAAACCAATATCGATCTCATTTCTCTATGCCAAACATGCATATAAGTTTATATAAACAAAACCCAACATTTGTAAAATTACACAAAGGCCCAAACTTTCTCAAAATTACCCAACAACCCCCAACATATCAAAATGCTAAAATTCAAAGACAAAGCTCATAAAGAGGAGTAAGATATCCTACCTCGAAGTTAGAGCTCAAACGAGAAAGTTGAAGAAAACCAAAATGCTCCAAACTCAAAGATCCACGGATCAAAATGGAGCCCTCTTCGATCCACACACTTTTTACAAAGGCCGGAGGATAGTGAGACACTCTAACTAGATCAAACCCTAGAGAGAAGGGAGTTTCTAGAGAGAGGAGCTCTCAAAATATATTTTTAGAAAGTAAGAGAGAGAGAGAGAGAGAGAGAGAATGTAAAAAGTGTTTTTAAAATGCCCAGCTGCCAACTGATATACAACATTCCCGCTCGAGCGGAGAACACAACGCTCGAGCGTCAAGAACAAAAAACTAGGTACGCTCGAGCGCAAAAAGGCCCGCTTGAGCGCCAAGACACAAGAATAAAGTACATCCGCTCAAGCACGAAAACCAGTCCGCTCGAGCGTGGATTTCTCCCTCCCAGAACTTACACCAAAAAGTACTACCCGCTCGAGTGCTACCGCTCGAGTGTAAAGAAACCCACTCGAGCGTAAAAATCACACCTGTAGATGTTTTGCAGGGACATGAAATACTGGGAGTGTGCAATCTCCGCTCGAGCGCTACAAGGCCCGCTCGAGCGGAACGACCAAAACCCTGCAACAAGATTTTAGACCAAGGTTCAACCCACCTGTTTGAAACATGCCCAACACATCCTAAAACTCACACAAATGGAATTAAAGGACGACAACAAGATAGATACAACTACCAACTCCACGGAACCGAGTCCGGAATACAACAGAACAGTAAAGGGACAACCGGGATCGCTATATTATTACAGGCGTTGTATATGCACATCATACTTATATCTTTGTTAAGATTCATATATTGTGTTAGATTGGTTCTACTGGATTTTGGCTCATCCTACTTGGGAAAAACATTTTCAGGTGCTGGTGATATGCCTCCGCCAAAGACATAACTTGGGAGGACTATGGAGCTGAAGGCTCATTTTTTGTTTATTTTGTATTTACTTTTACAAGCCGAGGGCTTTATTTGTATTGAGCTTATGACTCATTTTGTTGTAACCAAGCATGGTCTTAAAAAGACGTAAGCCATTAGGGCATGTGACTATCTGTTTGGCTTTCGTTTCTTATTACCTCTTGTAACACATGTTATAGATTCAGGATGAACGATTTATGAATGTATATCACATGTGTCACCTTTTGTATATTAACTCTAATTTAATGAAAGCCTCTGATGTTATTTATATCACATTGTACTAGTGCTTGCAATTAGTTTATTGTGTTTATTTTGGGGGCGTTACAGGATGAGTTATTAGTTTCAATTTACATATTCCTCATGCAATTTCTACAACAATCATAGTTATCCTTCACCGATTGTCCGAAACAGATATTTCTAAGCAGATATACAATCTCCACAACAGATAAACTATATTTCCATAGGCGAGTGATAATACATATCAAACTCTACCATTTATATATACATACATCCAATTTCACATTTCCAATACCAATTTCATTTATTTATACAAAATAAATATTTGAGACATTTTAGGGGAAACTCTCTTTTCTTCCAAAATCTAACCCAAGTATCAAAATCAACTATTTTACTACAACACAACCTCATAACCACTCCCATAACCATTTTCAATACACCCATTTGAAAAACTCTCTTTTTGATTTTAAATGAAAACCCTAGGTTTGTTCATGATCTTCCAAAAGTCACAATAATGTTTATACAAAACAAATAACTAAGTTAAGAGTCATATAGGAGTATAGAAAATCCCTACCTCAAAACTAGAAGACGAGCAAAGCAAGGAAGGAACTCAGAGGAAGCCTAATCGGATGAAAACATAGCCCTTGAGATGCTTTACCTCTTTAACAAAGGGACACGGGTTGAGAAACTACTGAATCTAGGTAAAATGTAGAGAGAGAGTAAGTTTTAGAGAGAGAGGCTTTGGATCTAGGGTTTTGGGAGAAAAATATATGAAAAGTGATATAAAATGACCTTTTTACGGACTGATATACGCGCAGTACGCTCAAGCGCTAAAAGTGACACTCGAGCATCAGACACTACAAGTGGTTTCGTTCGAGCATAACATACACACTCCTAGTAGTTTTATAGACAGCAAACCAATGCTCGAGCTCAAGAAAGGCTGCTCGAGTTGAGACCGCTCGAGCGTAGAAAATAGCGCTCGAGCGTAGAATACACCCTCCTAGTAGTTTTGTAACCTGCAAAAGTACTGAGAGTTCACAAAGCCCGCTTGAGTGCAAGAAGTGACGCTCGAGCAGAGGAGTAAAATTTTGGGCAACAAGAGTTTGAAAATCAAGCTACCAACCTGTTCCAAATGCAACCAATACAACTCAATAGCCAAGCTTAATGAGGGAAAAGGGGAAAGAAAAAACAAGAACAACAATACAAAATCATGAAACCCGAGTCTAAAATGCAAGATGGGTCGGGTCTAAACCAGAATCGCTATACTATTGCATTTAAGCAATTAATTAAGATCTACATTTATGGAGTCAAAATGCTCCTTGACAAGTGAAACACGCTATAGGGTTAAGCTCTATAGACATGAGTGAAGACTAGCTTAGTTTTACAGGCTTCGCATTGCAAATGTGAGAGAAGTTATTTGGTGGTACTAGCACGCCGATGTGGTGTCTTTGAAATTTTGTGTAGAGAAGAAGGTGGAACTCATGATTTTGTGTTAGGTAATTGAAAAATAGTAAGGGATATGATATATGATGATTAGTGGGGAGCATGAACAGGCGACACCCATGAAGTACCAAATAATTTTTTCAAATATGGGATCTAATCAACTATGTGTCTCATAATCAACTCTTAAATGTTCCTTAAAAAAAATAATAAATAAAACTCTTAAATTGATGTAGCTACAATTATCATATCAATTTTTAAAATTTTTGACTGAATAAAGCGTGTAAGACGAACAACTTACATCACTAAAATTAGATTTGTAATAGACTCCAACGGTTCAAACAATATCTTCTAATTCAAAAATTGAACTGGATAGGATTTTTCCTTGCTCCAACTTTTTTTAGAGTTTATTTTATCTATGGTCTCTCACTTACTAGCTACTGGCCCTATAAGTGAATTTAAAAAGAGAAATGTTATGTATTACAGATTATCTATTATCATTTTGTATTGCCAAATACTTATTAATAGCTACTTTATTTGAAGATAATTATTAAGAAATTAATATAAACAAATGATACCTTTTAAAAAGAGAAATGTTATATATTGCAGATTATCTATTATCATTTTGTGTTGCCAAATACTTATTAATAGTTACTTTATTTGAAGATAATTATTAAGAAATTAATATAAACAAATGATACCTTTTAAAAAGAGAAAAGTTATATATTGCAGATTATCTATTATCATTAAAAAAAAAAAAAAAAAAACAAGTGATATACAGTAATCCTTATTTAAAAAAATTGCTAGTATTTCACACAATTTTTAAGAAAATGCTAGTATGCACCCACCTTTTTATCATAACAAAATTATGATTTCTACCGTAAAAGTCACATAATTTGTGGTGAGCATCTTATGTCGTTTTGTCTAAAAATTATGAATGAACGAATTTATAGTGTTTATCCAAAAGTCAAATTACATATTGTTATGGTTATGTTATGAACGGTGTAGTGTACAATGTTACAAATTATTTGTGGTGAGAAATATTACGAATCAATTCAATGATAAAAGTTACAACATGTTGCGATGTTTATTACAAAACAATATAATTATGTTATGTATACTATGTTGTGATGTATTGTCTTTCTAAGTATATACACAGTAGATGTGTCAAACTTTTATTTCGTATAGCATTTTAAGTGGTTGATTATGATCAACATTTAGGAAGTCAAGTCTTCCTTGTTGAGTAAAAACACGTTACATTTGCCTATAAAGCATTTGGCCTCTCCCCTGTTAATAGTCAGCAAGCATTACTACCTTTGTTTTTGAATCTAGGAGCAAAGATGGTCTCTAACAATCAACTCTTTCACCTCTTTTTGTTTCTTTGTTTTTTCCAGATTACTTGTTTGCATGCCCAACTCTGCATTCAAGAACAGACCTCTGCATTGCTCCAATTTAAGCAACAATTTTCCTTCTTTAAAGCTGCTTCCGACGGTATCTGTGCTTTTTACGGAATCCATTCTTACCCGAAGATGGAGTCGTGGAAGGAGGGTTCTGATTGTTGCTCGTGCTAGAAAGGTAAGCACTAAACATGAAGCATGCAAAGCTACAAAAGAGGTGTTACACTACACCTATCCAAACCAAACATGGCATGACTCAAGCCAATAAAATCAGAGTTATGGGATGTCAAAGTAAGCCCAAAAATCCACTTAGATGACATCCAAATGACCTAAGCATGGAAGCATGCACAATGATCCAATCATGAGGCATAAAACATCAACTCTTTAAAACATTAAAGGAGTGACAAATGCAAGTATATGAGCATACTATGTGGACTGAAATAACATAACAAGTGATGCCAAATCACTGAAATGAGCCAAGTAAAGCATGCTAGTGACTTGGGAACTTAAAGGTAACAAGCTAGAATGCATGATGGCTATACAAAGCATGGCATGCATGATCAAAACAACTCAAATAAGAGATTTAGCATGGTAAAACAAGGCTAAAAGCTTCATGGAGTCAAGCCAAAATATGCAAGAATGATAGTCTAATCATAAGATGTATGTTAAGGCAAATGAGAGGATTGCAAGGCAAGTATATGAAGCATGTAAGAGCCAACTAAACCAACTCAAAACAGAGGTAAAACATGGAAAAATAACACCAAATACTTGCTGAAATAGAGCTAAAACAAGCTAAGCATCCAAGCAACGAACATAAGCCATTTATGCAAGCATTCAAAACAACAAGGAAAGGGGATGACCCTCTCCTTTTTGAGACCTTAAAACACCATTCCCACCACTGAACAAGCTACGAACATAAGCCATTTATGCAAGGATTCAAGACAACAAGGAGAGGGGATGACCCTCTCCTTTTTGATACCTTAAAACACCATCCCCACCACTGAAATCCCTCTGGATTTCAGTGGTGAGAAGGCCAAAACAAGGTGATCTCAAAGCTTAAAAAAAAACACAAGAACAAGGCCAAACAAGGCCTAAGAGGGGGTAAACAACCCCAAACATAAAAATGACCTTAATCAAAGATCTAAAGCATGCAAAAACAGAACTTATTATAGTTTATAGTTAAGCTTAAAACAATAAGCAAGAAGGGCTAAAAGCTTAAGCCAAAATGAGGTATCTAAAGCAAGAATGCTCACCTTTGAAGAACACCTTCAAGAACACCACTCCAGCTACTTTCTCTGATCAAAATCAGTCCAAGAACTCTGAAATCAACCCCAAAGGATCTCAGCTCCAAGAGGATGGTGTTCTAGTGTGTGTTTGTGTACAATAGTAAGACAATACTACACTTTTGAGTACAAAACAAGATCAAACAAGGTAAGATAGATACAAAACTAAATCTATCACTCTAACCTAATTTTTCTGAACCCTTGAGGAGGGAGGGGGAGCTCCCTTCTTATAGGAATTCAATCCCAAGGCTTCTAGGAGAAGCTAAGCAAATGGTGCAAATCCCTCCATACACGTATATGGAGGGGGTCAATTGTGCATGCCAGCTGTGCCAGCTGTCATAAAATATCTGCATAAAGCAGATGAACAGGGCTCGGCCAGAAAACATGGCTGATCGACCAACATAAGTGCCGATCGACCAAAAAGTGTAATGATCGGCCAAAACTTTTGGCCGATGGCAAGAAAACAAGGCCGATGGCTTCAAGCCTTGGCCGATGGGTTTAGGGGATGGCAAACAAGCCACCCTCTTCCCTCAAAAGCAAAAACACAAGTGCTTGGTCCACAACCAAGCACAAAACAGACAAGTTGGGAGATCTTGAGGCAAGGCGCGCGACCGAGGCCTCCGGGAACTCAAAACGAACACAGGCATGGATGATCATCGAGTGTTCAAACGATAACGTCCAAGTCTTGAGGACGGTCAAAAATGGGGTGTCTATAGGTACCCTGTGGGATACATCAAGATAACGAAAAGTCCCACATTTGAAGGTGCTCATGTGAGCTGCGAATGCAAGTTTTCAGCCAATGGAGATACTAAACAACACGTGAATGGCACAAGGAGAGGAAGTTAACAAAGCAGCGATTATCAGCAGTTATACACGGACAAAGAGGAGTTCATGGCCCCGAGGAGTAGCAAAGGAGAAGGAGATCTTGGCGGAAGATAACAGCCTAACTACTTCGAATGCGCAAAGAAAAGACTATAAATAGATGAAAGCAAAGACTGAAGAAGCCCCCGACCAAATCCAGTCTCTACGTCTTTGTCAATTTTATTTATTTTTAAATTTCTGCACTCTACCTTCTTGCACTCTACTTTTATGCACTGCACTTACTTTTTGTTAGTCTTGTAATTTTAGAACTCAGTCGGTTTAAAGTTTCAAAGTTGCCCTTACTAAAGGTAACATATTGTAATCGTTTATTCAATTAATCAATTACAATTTTCTGCCTAGTCTCTCTCTCTTCCATTTTGTTATGAATTTAAACTACAAGCTTTGGTGAGATCGTACCTTTGCAAGTACTTGAAATAAATACATCAAATTATTCTTGGCAAGATGCTTAAATAAAATTTAAATTTAAATTTAAATGTTGTGTGATTAGGCCATGCGTTAAAGCTTTTAAGAGTTTTAATAATCACAATTTTTTTTTTCTTTCTTTTTTCAATCCGTATGAAATAATTTGCACAAGAAAAGCTAAGTGCCTGAGATTTGCGCTTAGAATTTTACCAATAAAGATAAACGAGACGCATAGATTCAAATTATATAAGAAAATTCAACCATTCATATCTAGATGTATGTGACAAATTTAACAATTAATCACAATGTTTTTGTTATGCAAGAACTTATTCCAATCACACAATAAACAATAATAAGAAGAACAGACATACATACAAACACAAGATATACATGGTTTGGCGAAATGTCTACGTTTACGGCGGAGAAACGATCAAAATCCACTATACGCAATAAGGATTACAAAACACTCAGCAGCTCTCTTTCTTTTTCTATAACCCTAAAACATATACATTGATACAATATATAGGGTGAAAACAGTAAAGGTCGAAATTAACATTACATGCCCATAATGCAGGGTGCCTAGCCCCTCCCCTCGAGCTAAAGATATAGTGAATATAAGACATCTCGCAATAGTTTTCTCCTGTGAGAGTCGAATTCATAAAATTAACCACCGAGTTAGATAAAAATAGTGCCAATTGAATCTCACTGAACCACATGAGTATTGATTAGTTTTGAATAATCACATCATTGACTTCAATTTGAACATTTAGTTACTAATTTCTTGCCCTCTAAGCACGGCAGATTAAGATTCAGTAGAAGTAATTGAAAGTTTGGTAGGCCTCAAAAATATTTGTCCATTGTATATCCATCCATATCTACGTAGGCATAAACACTTACTAGGTAGCATTTTTTTATTTAGTTTTCTATTCATAATTTTAACACCATTATAGTGTCTATCACATAAGAAAAAAAGAAAAAAAGACAACTAAAGTTAAGTCTCATGTTAGTGTATTTCATTAAGATTTCTTCCCATTTTTTCATGAAAAAAGTAGAAGAAAAATTTGCTGAGACAGAAAGGAAAAGAAAAGAAAAAGTGAAAAAAATATATCTCATTTACTATTTTTTTTCTTTTATTATTTATTTTTCTTTGCAAAATTCCTCTTAAAATTCATAATTTTAACACCACAATAGTGCCTATCGCATGAGCAAACAAATTATAAATAGGACAACTAAAGGAAAGTCTTCGTATTGGACAAGTGTATTTCATTAATATTTTTTCACCTCTTCCAAATAAATATATGTATGAAAAGAAAAAAAAAAAGGTCCTCTTTTATGCATGGTAAAGGAAACATTTGTCATAAACCATTACACACTTAAGTATAAAAATATATATATATTTCATTTATTTTTTATTTAGTTATTTTCTCTATAAAGTATGCTTAAAATTCATAATTTTAATAACAACACAGTGCCTATCACACAAAAAAACGAATAGCAAATAAGACAACTTAAGTCAATTCTTCATATTGGAGAAGTGCATTTCATTAAGATTCCTTCCCCTTTTTCCCAAAAAAAAAAAAAAATGAAGAAGAAAATATTTGCCAGAGAGAAAAACAAGTTTAAAAAAAAAATTATATTTCATTTACTATTTTTTTTCTTCTATTGTTTGTTCTTCTTTGGAAAATCCCTCTTTAAATTCATAATTTTAACACCACCAAAATGCCTTTAACATGAGAAAATGAATTGTAAATAGAATAACTAAAGTCAAGTTTTTTTTTGTATTAGACAAGTGTATTTCATTGAAAAAGAGAAATTTGCTAGAGGAAGGTAAAGAAAAGAAAAAATGAAAAAAAGATTTATATTTTATTTACTTGTTTTTCTTTTATTATTTTATTATTTATTCCTCCTTGCAAAATCTTTCTTAAAAAATTTATAATTTTAACTCTATTACAGTGGCTATGACATGAGAAAATAAATTATGTATAGGATAACTGAAGTCAAGTTTCATATTAGACAAATTGGTTACCCTCTATGCATGGTAAAGGAAACATTTGTGGTAGACAATCATATGTGGTTAAGGAGTCCATTTCCATTATTTTTCAGACATTTATTATATGTATTTGTTGGAATTTGCAAATTGTTCTCAATTGATGTGACCTTGAAATCCATTCCAACTAGTGACTGAAGTCCTTAACCCTTAGTGGTCCTAACATTTGGAATTAAAAACAATCAGAACTTGAATAACAACGACCAAAAGTTCCTATTGAAGATAATAACATATTGAAGATAAAATTTTCTCATGTGTGGTGGCATAATTTGTAACTTGATTTTATTTCAATTAGCAAAATTATGGATGTGTGATAAGATTTTGAAAGATAAAATTAGAAATAAATATATTCATAAAATAGTAGGAGTAGCACTTATTAAAAAAAAAAAATTGAGAGAATAAGTTACGATGATTTGATGATATATAATAAAAGCCCAACTGATATAATGGTAGAAAGAGTGATACAATCACTATAAATGGATAAGTTACATGAGGGGAGAAAATATATATTTATTTAATTTAACTGAATATATAACTATTGATAAAATAAAATGACAAAAAAATTCATATAGTCTGTCCTACTTAATTAAGACACAACGCTTAATTTTTGGTTTATTTTAATATGGTGAATGAAATTAGATAAATGCCATAGCACATGCAAGTTTTCACCAACTTCATTCACTGCCTCACATGGCAGAGTTTTAAAAACAGCTATCTCACATTTACATCAGTACATTTTAACATCATACCCATTTATTTTCCTAAATGGTTTGACATTCATCTAAAAAAATTATATTTAAATTTTTTGCTTTTGTTTTTGTTTTTGTTTTCAGTGATAAATTTTCTTAAAATTATGTTAAAATTCTTTTGATGTCTGTTTAGTACATAAGGATTTTGTTGGTGCTACATTTAAACCATTCAATGCAAAGGTGACACGTAGCAAGCAAAGAGTACTTAATCTAGGTGAAAATGTAGAGAGAGAGTGAGTTTTAGAGAGAGAGGCTATAGATCTAGGGTTTGGGGAGAAAAAGATATGAAAAAGTGATGTAAAATGACCTTTTTACAAACTGATATACGCGCAGTCTGCTTGAGCGCTGGAAGTGATGCTCGAGCGTCAGACACAACAAGTGGTTCCGTTCGAGCACAAGAAGTGACGCTCGAACGCAAGAAGTGACGCTCGAGCGTAGAATACGCACTTTCAGTAGTTTTATAGACAGCAGACTAATGCTCGAGCTTGAGAAAGGCTGCTTGAGCTGAGATTGCTCAAGAGTAGAATATGCCCTCCCAATAGTTTTGCAGACCTGCAAAAGTAATGAGAGTTCACAAATCCCGCTCAAGCGCAAGAAGTGAGAGCGGAGGAGTAAAATTTTGGGCAACAAGAGTTAGAAAACCAAGCTACCAACATGTTCCAAACGCAACCAATACAACTTAATAGCCAAGCTCAATGAGGGAAAAGGAGAAAAAAAACAAGAACAATAATACAGAATCATGAAACCCGAGTCCAAAATGCAAGATGGGTCGGGTCTACCAGAATCGTTATACTATTGCATTTAAGCAATTGATTATGATCAACATTTATGGAGTTAAAATGCTCCTTGACAAGTGAAACACGCTATACGGTTAAGCTCCATAGACATGAGTGAAGACTAGCTTAGTTTTGTAGGCTTCGGATTGCGAATGTGAGAGAAGTTATTTGGTGGTACTGGCACACTGAAGTGGTGTCTTTGAAATTTTGTGTAGAGAAGAAGGTGGAACTCATAATTTTGTGTTACGTAATTGAAAAATAGGAAGGGATATGATATATGATGATTAGTGGGGAGCATGAATAGCCAACACCCATGTAGTACCAAATATTTTTTTCAAATATGGGATCTAATCAACTATGCTGTCTCATAATCAACTCTTAAATGTTCCTTCCAAAAAAAAAAAAAAAAAGAACTCTTAAATTGATGTAGCTACAATTATCATATCAATTTTTAAAATTTTTGACTGAATAAAGCGTACAAGATGAATAACTTACATCACTAAAATTAGATTTGTAATAGACTCCAAAGGTCCAAACAATATCTTCTAATACAAAAATTGGACTGGATAGGATTTTTCCTTGCTCCAACTTTTTTTAAGGTTTATTTTATCTATGGTCTCTCACTTACTAGCTACTGGCCCTATAAATGAATTTAAAAAGAGAAATGTTATGTATTACAGATTGTCTATTATCATTTTGTATTACCAAATACTTATTAATAGTTACTTTATTTGAAGATAATTATTAAGAAATTAATATAACAAATGATACCTTTTAAAAAGAGAAATTTTATGTGTAGCAGATTATCTATTATCATTTTGTATTGCCAAATACTAATTAATAGTTACTTTATTTGAAGATAATTATTAAGAAATTAATATAAACAAATGATATTTTGTCATGTATCTAGGCTGGTGATATAAAAATGTTTAAAAAAAAAAAAAAGTGATATACAGTGATCCTTATTTAAAAAAGTAGCTAGTAATTCACAAAATTTTTAAGAAAATGCTAGTATGCACCCACATTTTTGTCATAACAAAATTACGATTTCTACCGTAAAAGTCACATAATTTGTGGTGAGTGTCTTGTGTTGTTTTGTCTAAAAATTATGAACGAACAAATTTATGGTGTACATCCGAAAGTCAAATTACATATTGTTATGGTTATGTTATGAACGGTGTAGTGTAAATGTTACAAATTATTTGTGGTAAGAAATATTACGAATCAATTCAATGATAAAAGTTACAACATGTTGTGTTGTTTATTACAAAACAGTATAATTATGTTATGTATACTATGTTGTGATGTATTGTCTTTCTAAGTATATACACAGTAGATGTGTCAAACTTTTATTTCGTATAGCATTTTAAGCGGTTGATTATGATCAACATTTATAAAGTCAAGTCTTCCTTGATGAGGAAAAACACGTTACATTTGCCTATAAAGCATTTGGCCTCTCCCCTGTTAATAGTCAGCAAGCATTACAACCTTTGTTTTTGAATCTAGGAGCAAAGATGGTCTCTAACAATCAACTCTTTCACCTCTTTTTGTTTCTTTGTTTTTTTCAGATTACTTGTTTGCATGCCCAACTCTGCACTCAACAACAAACCTCTGCATTGCTCCAATTTAAGCAACAATTTTCCTTCAATAAATCTGCTTCCGACTGTGATCGTTCTTACCCGAAGATGGAGTCGTGGAAGGAGGGTTCTGATTGTTGCTCATGGGATGGGGTCGAGTGTGACAACAACACAAGTCAAGTAATTGGCCTCGACCTCAGTTGCAGCTGGCTCAACGGCACCATCCACCCCAATAGCACCATCTTCTACTACTTTCCTCACCTCCAAAGCCTCAACCTCGCTTTCAATCACTTTGGTATGTCTCGAATCTCATCTGAATTTAGTCGATTCACCAGATTGACACACCTCAACCTCTCTTACTCTAGTTTTTCTGGCAAAGTCCCTATTGAAGTCTCCTTTCTGAGCAAATTGATCTCGCTTGATCTCTCGAACAACTATGGTTTGTGGTTGGAAGAACTGGGATTTGAATTACTTGTTCAAAACTTAACCAAGGTAAGAGAACTTAATCTTGGATATGTAAACATATCTTCAGTGGTTTCGAATTCCTTGCTCAATCTGACTTCTTTAACACTTCTCGATCTTTCTTTTTGTGGATTGCTTGGAAAATTTCCTGACGGAATATTCCATTTACCACATCTGAATGAGCTGATTATAAGGTATAATCTTGCTCTCACTGGTTATTTTCCCGAGTTTATAAACTCGAGCAGTCCTCTCCAGTACTTGGACCTTTCACCCACTAATTTCTCTGGAGAACTACCCGACTCAATTGGGAATTTGAAGTCCTTGAAAGTGTTGTATGCCTCTAATTGTAAATTTTATGGATCCATCCCTACGTCGCTCGGAAACCTTACGGAAATGACTGATTTGGACATCGGATATAACAATTTCACCGGCATGCTCCCATCTTCACTTTCAAACCTTGGAAATCTCGTCTACTTGGCAGTTTCACGTAATAATTTTGAAGGGATAATTTCGGATTTTTTACCCAACCGTAAAAATCTTCTTTATTTATATGCTGGTTCAAATAACTTCAGCGGTCCAGTCCCATCTTTGGTTGCAAACCTAACAAAACTTGTTGAGTTAGTTTTGAAGAATAATCAGCTAAGAGGACCTCTTCCATCACAAATAATTGGACTTCCAAATCTAGTGTGGTTAAGTTTAGCTCATAACTTAATCAACGGTACAATTCCATCTTGGGTTTTCAGCTTACCTGTATTGGATTACTTCAACATCAGTAATAACAAATTGACTGGCCATGTAAAAGAGTTCAAATCCACTCATTTAACTGTTGTTGATTTGAGCAATAACAACCTACATGGTAGGTTTCCAAGTTCAACTTTCCAACTCGTGAGCCTTACTCATCTCATTCTTTCATCAAATAACTTCAGTGGTGAGCTAGACATGCTCTGTCATGCAGTTTTCCTTCAATTACTTGTCCTGTCTAGTAATAGCTTTAATGGTTCTATTCCACAATGTTTAGGAAACTTCAGCACAAATTTCTCTGTGCTCGATCTGCGGAAGAATAATTTTTCTGGCACTATTCCTAATACATTTGTAAAGGGAAATTCCTTCAAAATTATCAACCTTAATGGAAATGGATTTGAGGGTACAGTACCAAAATCTCTAGTCAATTGCAAAATGCTACGAGTGGTAGATCTTGGATGTAACAAGTTCTCTGACAAATTTCCATTTTGGTTGGAAAAACTACGCTGGCTGCAAGTTCTAAGTTTGAGATCTAACAAATTCCATGGACCTATGCCAACTTCCGAAGCCAAATTTCCCTTCCTTAACTTGAGAGTTATGGATTTGTCAGACAATTATTTTACTGGTCCACTGCCAAAAACATATTTCAAGAATTTCAATGCAATGATGAATGTCATAGAAGCCAATTTTAAATTGCAATACATAGAGAACTCTGGTTTTGATTCTTTATATCATTATATATATCATTATCATGATTGTTTGACTATGGTAATCAAAGGATCAACCATAGAAATGGAAAAAGTCCTAACCATTTTCACTGTAATTGATTTATCAAAAAACAATTTTGAAGGTCAGATTCCACAGATCATTGGAAAGTTAAATTCAATCAGAGGACTCATCTAACAATCAACTCTTTCACCTCTTTTTGTTTCTTTGTTTTTTTCAGATTACTTGTTTGCATGCCCAACTCTGCACTCAACAACAAACCTCTGCATTGCTCCAATTTAAGCAACAATTTTCCTTCAATAAATCTGCTTCCGACTGTGATCGTTCTTACCCGAAGATGGAGTCGTGGAAGGAGGGTTGGTTATTAGCCTAGAATTACTATGTTATGCGTACAGCACAAAAGTATAGACTAGATTGCCTAATTTGGGAATAAGCATTGCATATCCCTAGATCGCCTAATTTGGGAATAAGCATTGCATATCCGTTTGTTTTGGGAAAATGTTTTGGAATTTGCTACTCGCAAGTAGGCTAAAACACGGATTTTGACGAGCTATTCCAACTCAGACAATCCAACCTTCACCCACAGGCATTCAAGCAGTTATATCACATAAGCAGCTAGCCTCATGGTAATCATGCTATCATGGAAACACTCACACGCATGCAAGGATGCTAAAGCATAAATACTTACATCATACTCCGTGCCAAAACAAAGAACTCGTTAGCAATCAATGCATGATCCAAGTCCATGTTTAAATGTCTAATGCAACGCATACGGAATGTCACTAGAGTAGGCTCGGCTAGCCTATGAATGACATGTGAAAATGCATGTATTCAAGTTGGACTTGAAATACTAATGCAGTTAGCATGATGCGCCGAGCCCGGTGCATGCAATACTGATGAATGATGTACGCATGCATAGCATAAGGCATGCTAAATTAAACATGGCCTATTACTAACCATCAAAGCAGGTAAGTAAAAGGGAGAAAGAAGTGGGGGTTGGAAGACATGCGCACACTCACCCACACTTATTACAAATTCGCCCTCGCTCGTAGGGACCAAAAGAATAATACAATTCGAATAATGAATTAACTATCCTAGCTAATTAATTATTGCAGACCAACTAAATTAATTAAACAAATTAATTAACTTAAGAAAGCAAGAAAAAGGGCCTCGGGAAGAGGGCTCAATGCACGCGTGCTCGGGTCTTGCTCGGAAGTTCACTGCCATGCGCAAGCTGCCTCTGTTTTCCCTGCTCTGCTCCTCTGAAGACTGCCAAAGTCTCAGGATGTGCTCACTGGATGTTGGGGAATGCCACCGGCTGGAGGAAATCATCATCGGCTGTGATTTGGTATCGATGGGCCAAAAATGAATCCATCGGCCACCAATGGATTGCCGGTCGGCACTCTGTACAGTCGATCGGCAAACAGGTCCTGCAGAATCTGTTTGACAGCAGCAGAGGACAGAGCTTTGCATGGCAATACAATTCAAACAATGTATGCACCAACCATATCCCTTATCATGTTTATGACTCAAAGGGACATGGTCCTTGGTTCTCGGACCATCAATCGCGCATTTCAATGCGTGATGGCCCAAGAGACCAAGTTATGCATGTTGATTTCAAATGCAATGCAAACCATCAAACAAAGGCCCAACTCCCATCACTAAATCAAGGAACAAGGCATGCATACTAGATGGAGTGCAACCTAGGCATGTGAACTAGCATGCAACATGGGCATACAATGCATTTATGCAAGTATGCAAGCAAACATGCAAGGTAAGCATGCAAACAAGCAAATGATGGACTTAAGCACGGTTTAGGCAGCCCTTACTAGGCCTAAAACAGTGGCCAAGGTGCTCAAAAATGAAGGACTAATAGGCACACAAACATGCATGCAAATGACCTCCAACACTTCAAGCATTAAAGAGCAATTCTCAAGCACACTCAAGAGGATGCAAACATGGACATATAGCATGCATTAAGCTCTAAAATCATGCTATAGGAGGTGCCAAACCAACTAAACAAAGCAAGCAAAACATGCCACAATGGCCCAAGTGCTTAAGACAAGGCAAGGAGGCTTAAACCAAGGTCAAGTCCACCAAACCTCACAAGGCTAAGGGGACTTAAAACAAGTCAAATGCAGACTTAAACAAAGCCAAGGGTGCACTTAGATGGCATCTAAGTGGTCTAAAAGTGCAAGCATACTCCGAGGCCTAAACAAGGGGCATAAGGTAACAACCTTTAAACACATTGAAGGAGGATTAAATGCAAGCATATAAGCATACCAAGTGGACTGAAATGACATGGAAAATGGTCCCAACCCACTAAATCAAAGCAAGTAATGCATGCTATACACTCACACCCTTAAGGCCAACAAGCCAAAATGCAAAGGGTCTATACAATGCATGCCAAAGTCGACCCAAACCACTAAGGACAGACCTTAATCATGGCAAAATAAACATGAAAGCTTCACAAAGCTAGGCCTAAAGCATGCTTGAACAAGGGTTAAAACCTAGATGCATGTTAAGGCAACAAAATGGCATTACAAGGCATGTATGCTAAGCAAACATGGTGTACCAAAACCAACATACAACAATGCTATATTATGACATAATAAGCATAAAAAACAGCCAAGGCATGGTCAACATGAGCCTAAGCTAGGTGCTCCCTCAAGAGGCAAAAATGGTCCTTTTCAAGGACAACAAGGAGAGGGGGTGGCCCTCTCCTTCTTGGGACCTCAAGGCACCATCCTCACCTCTGAAATCCCTCAAGATTTCAGTGGTGAGGAGGCCCAAACACCAAAGTCCCGGAGCTCACACAAAATAGCACAAAACAAGGGCCAAACAAGGCTTAAGAGGGGCCAAACAACCCCAAAGCTTAAAACACTCTCAACAAACTATTTAGAGGCCTTAAAAAAAGAACTTTTATGTATTATATGCAAAGCCAAAAAACAGTTGCAAGATAGGTAAAAGTAGTGTGCAAAAATGGGGTAAAAAGGACTAGTTTCTTACCCTTGAAGTCCTCCTTCACAAATGATGATCTTGTTGCCTCCTTGAGCTCAAATCCAGTCAAGAACACCAAAAACAACCCTCTGGTCCCTCAACAACCAAGAGAAGGTGTAACACTATGTGTTTGTGTGCAATAGTATGGACAAACAGTTACCTCATGTGAATAATTAGAAGGAACTATGTGCTTCTGTATGATTTATAAGGCCGAGAGCCATTTGTGA